ATATATAAATAGATGTTGAAATACACATAGATGTAAATGGGCATATATAATTTATTCATAGGAATGCACATAGATACATACATACATATATAAGTACACAGATATATTTCATAGCCTGACCACTGGGAGACCTGGAAGCAGTAACATCCTAAGAAAAATGAGCATATATAGAGCCTATATCTTCTTTTCCAAAAACCATTAAAAGAACAGGGATCCTTGGAGAAATGGCTAATACCAGGGGTAGGGCAGAGAAAGTACATGATAAGGCTGGAACAACTGGTTGTACCAGAAAGTAATAAAATGCTCAGAAAATGATGGAGACATATCAAAAGAATACAAAATCTAATGAGAAGGTTACCTTAATCCCAATAGTATTGAATTATCCCAGGCTACCAAAATTCAGTGGAAAGGAAAAAGATTATAACAGAGAGAGAGAGAGAGAGAGAGGAAATGAAAAAGGAAGAAAAAAGGAAAAGAGAAAAGGAAGGAAAAGAAAGGAAGATTATAAATCATTGAATAAATAGGAAGCCATGAGTCCATACTGATTAAATAAAAATGAATGGATAAATAAATGGGAATGTGAGAAAGGTTTTTCTTATAGTAGAATGGTAACTAATGAATTCAGAAGGAATGACTGAAGTGGAAAATCACTATTCGGCAACCATCAGGGTAATAATTCAACCAGGAAGCATCAATGAGCACTAAAACTAATTGGTCAAAATTTGATAAGGAAAAGGATACTTACATAGTTTCAAACTATCTTTCCACAAAATATTTATTAATTACACTAGAAGAAAAAGAGTAACATCACAGTGGAGACACCTGGCAGACATCACCTTAGTCAGTAACAACACAGAAACTGGATAAATCAAAATCATGAATCATCTGACAGAGTGCAACGCAGAGAGTGCAGCATGACTTCTTGATATTCCCACCAAAAGTGAAGACCCTGAAATTTAATCATGAGGAACATAAGATGAACCCAAATTGGGGACACTCTACACAATAACTGGTCTATAATCCTCAAAAGTGGCAATGTCATGAAAGTCATGGAAAGACTGAGGAACTGCAACAACTAAATGCTATGCATAACCTGGGACTGGAGGGGTCATTATCGAAACAATGGGAAATAGCTAAATGGGGTGTGTAGTTGAGATGGTTATAAGGTATCAGTAGTGTATCAAATATTAATTTCCTAATTCTAGTGATTGCTTTGAGGTTATGACGAAATCTCCCTGTTTTAGAAATTACCAAAAAATTCAATAGAAAAAGAATATTTAAGTAACTCAGAAAGATTAAAAGTCAAAAGATGAGCAAAAACCCACTAAGCAAATGAAAAAAAGCAGAATATTGATCTTATTATCAGTCATTATTTATATCAGAGTAAACATATTACATGAGATGAAGAAGAGTATTTATAAGAATAAAGGTTGTACTCCACACTAAAAACAGACACAAAGATTTCTGCACCTTTTAAAGAGCACCAAAACTTCAGGAAATGCAAAGAGATTCAGAGATGGACAGGCTCTAATTCACCTGTCTCAGGCCATAAAGGTCAAATAAACAAGAAAAGTTTGACTGCAGAGTATCCAAGTAACCTAAACAGTAAAATAGAGTTAATTTAACACTCCTGAAAAACAAGAATATCCTTTCAGTTCAGAAACTTGTGAAAAATGCATCAAAAATTATAGGATAAACAACTATAAGAATAATGGTTAACATATCTATGAAACCTTAAAATGTACCAGGTACTATTCATAAGTACTTTGTAGATCTTAATTCTTTTAATGCCCATAACAACCCCACAATAAAACTTGAGACACAGAGAGATTGCACAAGATGCCTGAGGTCATGCAGCTGATACATGGGAAAACCAGGATTTGAACCCAGGCAGTCTACATCCAGAGTCTACACTCTTAACCAATACTTGAATAAACTCAAAAGTGCAGAAGTGATACAAATGAACATTCCCCAATAATAACACAATAAAACTAGAAATTAAGAGCAGAACTAGGTAATTTTAAAATCTTATCCACATGAGAATTTATAACCCTCTTAATTCTTGATTCAAAGAAGAAAACAAAACCAACATTGCTATATAAAATATAACAATAATGAAAATACTATGCATTAAAATTTATGAGATACAGCTAAAACAGTGTGCATAAGAAATTTCAAAGTCTTAAATATTAACATTAATCAAAAGTTTAAAAATTACTTAAACACCCAACTCAAAAGAACTAAATTTAATAAAAACATAAGGAATAAATTAGTAAACGCAGAAAATAACTAAATAACAGAAAAGTTAAAGAATCTAAATTTAAAATATCCAGAGCTAATTATTTATGTAAAGTAAAAGCTATTATCTAACTTTAAAAAACAGCTAAAGAAGGAAGGCATGGAAGAACCCAGAATAAGAAATGAGAATGGGGACATTACAAAGGTAAAAAGAAAATTCAAATAATGAAAAGATTATTTTGCTTAAAACTGAGTAAGTCAATTTTTAAACATGTGTGAATTGAATTATTTTCTAGAAAAAATATCCAAGAAAACTGACCCTGGACAAGATAAACCACAAACAGGTAAGTTATGATACAAGACACAGAAAATATCAAGTACTGTCACACCAGAAAGTAACAGACTCAGAGAATTTTACAAGTGAATTATCTGTCCCTTTAAGGAACCCAATTTCACTAAACTGTTCCAGAACACAGAGGGGAGGAACCCTTCCAAATACATACTGAAGTCAACAGACCCAACATTAAGGCAAAATTCTAAATGAGATACTATCAATAAAATCTAGCAGCAAGTTGAATCCATGCCAGGAGTGAAAGAACAGTTTGATATTAGGAAATGTATAAATATAATTATATATGCTATATATATGGTTAACAAATATATATGTGTATGCACATTATATATATATATAGTTAACAAATAAAAATCATATGTTATATCCTCACAATGCTCCAAAAGACTGTGACAATAATTCAACATTCACCTTTTAAAGATGATTTTATCATTTAAATGGCAGTGGTAATAAAACCACACTCAAAAAAGTTTGCCACAAAAAGTTCTTCTTAAAAAACAATCAAAGAACGATTCAGATAAATCGATCTAGAAAGATGCCTCAAAAGATATGGGAAATGACAATAATAATTACCTAAAAAATGAAAGAAAGGAAAAAGGACATATCATAAAACTAAATCTATGACATCACAAAAAAAATTCCAGAAAATATTAACATGGCAAGATGTGGAGGAAGAAGACCAAAGGGACACAGCAGCATGAAGTACTTGTCTTTTCAGAGAAGAAATACAGATATGGGGCATCGTATTCCTTCCCACCATATTTCACCAATTTTTTCCACCTGCTTTGCTTGTGTTGAAGGGAGAGGTTTAGGCTAGAAGTCACACATTTAAGACCAATTAATACATATATCAGATATAGACAGGATTTAAAGTTAGCAAATTGAATGAAATGCCCAAAGAACTATAAATAGAAAGAGAACAATGTTTCCTTCAGTACCTAGAGGCTGGAGAAAGTCAGAAAAAAAAAAAAAAAAAAAAAAAAAACAGCAAAGCAGCAGCAGCCGGTGGGGTAGGAAGAAAGCCAGAAAAATGTGGGTATCCTTGAAGCCAAAGGAAAAAAATGTATTTCCAAGAAGATGAGGTGATGAACTGTGTCAAACGCTCCTGATAGGTAAAGAGATCTAAGGACTGACTAGTAGAATTAGCAATATGGCTATCTTGACAAGAGCAATTTCCATGGGATGGTTTAGGTGAAGCCTGATTTAGAAAGAGTGAGTTTGGTAGGAATTGGCCTAAACGAATACAACCAATCCTTTAATAGGCTTGGTCGGAAAGTGAAGTAAGTCTCCTTAAAGGCATTCTGTTCAATGTCCACCCTAGAGATAAGGGCCCTCAAGGACAATAGACAAAGTAGATCCTCCCAGAAAACAGATGAGGGCTGCCAAATTGGCCAACAAAGAGCACTAATTCAATGCCAGGCAGGGCATCCTTGCTATTTCTGCGCAGCAGAATATTTACTTGAATCACTGGCTACTGGAGAAATTTCCCATCATTCCTTGTTTGATGGAACTTTTCATTTAGTTATAGTCTTCCTTCTCCACTGTTGTATACTGGATGTTTCAATATCTTTTAAACATAGGTCATAGGACATCAAGGAATTACAACTAGGCTTGAGATTGGATCTGCAATTAGGCACAGCAAATAGATGAGAAGCTTTGGGTATCTTCTTTTAGAGAAGGAAGCAATGTGTTTCATCTAGCACAAAAAATTTTAAGTATGTATATGTGATGAGCAGTGTTTATAAATGATGGACAGCCAAAAGTGGAACTATAGCAGACACCTAAAATAAAATGCTGAATGAAGCCAGGCGTATGCGTCACACTTCTAATCCCAATGCTTTGGGAGGCCAAGGTGAGAGGATAGCTGGAGGCCTCACGACCATGTGCTTTTGGGAGCTCAAGATCAGCCTGGGAAACATAAAGAAACCTGTTGCTACCCCAAAAAAAACATGTTTTTAAGTAGTCAGGCATGGTGGTATGCACCTTTATTCCCAGCTACTTGAAAGGCTGGGGTGGGGGATGACTTGGAAATGTGCTGAATAAAATCTCTGTTGTAACTATAGCTACAAGTTGCAAACAGCAAGTGCTGAGTGCTCCGCAACAAGGAGACACCAGAGGCACCAGGACTGATTCAGAAGTCACAGAACTGGTCCCGTCACCATCCTCCTACTCCCCAGCGTGTTTTAAGAACAGGAGTGACGATGAAAACATGGGAGATTTATCATGGTCATGAGTTGTCATGCCTTCCCTGCACCCTCAAGCCAAGTAGCAAGGGCTTGGTGCCTGCCAAAAGGAAGAATAAAATCTCATTCCAACTTCAACACCTGCTTGCACAGCAGACTTGCTGATCTGCCCTCTGTGCCTGCTTGAACAGAGGAAAAATATAGAGAACTAGAGGGGGGCGGGGAGCATGATGAGCAGCCTTTCATACTGGTTGGTATGGAAAGCAGGCAAGAGCTTCCCTCGGATTAAACGGATCTTGTGGCTTCAGCCGTCTTGTTGGCATCCCACCAAAAGAGGCAGTCGCTTGACAAGTGGACCCCCGACTCGAGAAGATATAGGGTGGACTGCCAAATGGCTTCTAAGGGTGGTTGAAGGAGAAAACTGTACAGTAGGGAGGTCCCACAGGTGCCCCAAAAACTCACATATGCACCCTTTCCTTGAGACGGCCATCATTTGGCCTCTTGCCACACAGAGGACGTGATCAGCCAGTCTTGGCCCGAGAAGCAGCGTGAGCCGAGAGGAGTCTGAGAGCAATCAGATAAGGATATTTGTTTCTTTTCATTGATTGTCTCTCCTTAAACATGCTGAGAGGAGCAGAGAATGGACCAGAAGGAAGAAAAAGGAGGTGGAGAAAGTGAGTGTTGAATTGGATGTGAAACTGAAATGTTAAATTGGACCTACCCATAGAATATACCTGAGATATTATTAAAGGATTAGAAAGGGAGGTTCCCCAGAGCATTTTTAAGGCAGAAATTAAAGGAAAATAAAACCACTACGTATCTGAACCCCGGGTTCAGATTGTTGAATATGCCCATTAAGTGCTGTTGGTTGGCCTTTTTAACAACCACACCTCTCTTCCTCCTTGTGGACAGACTGATTTTATTCCCTATGCCCCTTTCTCATGGCTGTGTGTTTCTGGGCAGGGAGGCCCCATTAGGAGATGAATCACAATCAGCCAAAGCCAATCAAAGTGGTCCCACTGCCTTTGCCAAAGCCTAGTTGACATGTCACGCAAAGATACTTGATGCCATTCTGGCCAACGAGACATGAGAGAGAGTATACTATCGAGACTCCCAAGAAAGGACTCCTTTGCTCTTAAAAGGTAACACATACCGGAGGAGAAGGGTCATTTTTCTGCCTCTGGAGATTGTGTGGATGTGATACCTGGTGTGGCAGCAGCCAGCTTACTACCCGAAGAGAGGTAGCCAGAAGACCAGGCTCTTGGACAGAGAAGAGTAAGATGGAGAAATGGAAAGAATCTAAGTCCTTTGGGAATTCATTGAGCTGCTGCATTAACCAAGCCTACCTCTAACATTCTTCCATCATGAGATAATGCCTTTTTTATTGCTTGAGCCAAATGAATTGGATGGTTCATTATTCCCAAGTAAGAGCATCCTACCTGAGGCTATGTAGGAAACTGGGTGCTCTGGGTTGCATTTGAAATCTATGTTATGAAGCCAGGACAGCCCTAAACAAGGGCCCCCAGAGTTAAACCCTCCTCCCCACCCCTACAAGGGAATTCGTGGGAATACAAGTCTCCCTAACACATAGATGTGACCATAATGGGTCACAACCACAACCTGTAATGGCTTTCCCTTACTTAGAGTCCTCTTTGTGGATTCGCAAGTCACACGATTACTTCCAGATTCAGAATTCCAAAACGTTTTGATCTCCAGTCTTTCCCAAGAACAACCTTCATCCTCTGACTGTGTGTCTGCCATTTGCATTTCATCTCCCGATGTGCAAGTGGGAAGGATGGCACCTTGACCTTCAGAGTGTCTACCCTCCAACCATCCTGATTTTCTATGGCCCCTTCTCACAGCTCACAGTCTTCACACTGGAATATAACCCCACAGACCAGAGCTAGCTATCAACACAAAGCATTCAATGTGAGAATTGCTTATGTAAGTTGACAGGTGGCTCCTAAGGGCTTTAAGAGGAAAGGAAAAAGCCTACCCATGGATGGGTGAGTGATCACGAGGAATGCCAGGAACTGCAGCTTTCTGTGTACCTGGCCCATCCAGCTCCATACCCACGGCCACTCACCCACTCCCAACCGGCTCATGGGGCTGTATGTGGGACACTGAGCAGCTAGCCCACGTGGGTAACACTCCCAAGGCCCCATCTTCCAGATGGAGAGAGTGTTTTCACAGACTATCCAGGCTGAGCCAAGTCTGGCTCAGAGCTTCCTGCAGAGAAACTGAATATAGCTGGAACAGACATGACAGCAATGGACCCTGAAGACGGGAATAGAGACTCACTCAGAACTACTAGATCCGGACTGGGAACAAGACAGAAGCTGCTCGCCCTCCCCACGTACACCAGGATCCCACGGCAGTGGAACCTCTCTGCAGTTATCTCCCCTCTGCTGGATCTCTCCTGACCCCCTTCTCTAATGACTCTCCCATGTCTAATGTGGACCTGCTCCCTCTGGCTGTGTTACCTACTGAGCTCCCCTGTTGATGGCTTTTTTTCTCCCTATTCTAGTAATGGGATGAAATGAAGTTTGGGAAGTGCTTGAAGGCGGACGCATTGATTTCCTAGAATAGTCAATGGCTTTGTGGGAAACTGCACAGAATGTGTGAAATGGAGTTCCACCAGGAAGCCAAGGATTTTATGGCTGCTGTACTGTGATGTTGACTCTAGTGATGCTTGGTGTGGGTGGGACATTATGGGAAGAACACGGAAATCAAAGCCAAGCAGTTCCAGGTTCAAATCCCAGCCATGCCAGTTGCCATTATGTCACTTTGGTAAATTTACTTGACCTCTCTGAGCCTCAGTTTTCCCAATCTGTCAGACTATCAATACTACCCTGTAGATTTTTATCAGAATTAAATAATACTGCACCTGGCTCAAAGTCAGACCTCACAGGATGCTGGTCTCCTTTTTCCTCTTCTCTTCTCCAGCCCCACTGCCCTAGGGCAGCAGCTTCCATGGTGATGTCCCCCCCCCATCTCTCTCTCTCACTCTGTCACACACTCTCACACTCACACACTCACACATACACACATACACTCTCACACTCACACACTCACACAACCAAAACAGCAGACTCTCTACCTCCCAAAATCCTTACCGACAAAGAAGTTTGAGCTTTTGTGTAGAAGCCATTCTGTCTGCCTAGGGTAGTCCTGTTCTCAGCACCTCTGCATCGGAACTGCCCTGGATGCTGGTTTTAAATGTGGGATCCTGGGCTGCATCCCAGGCCTACTAAATGGAGAGGAAAGGGGATTCAAATGCACTCCCCAGCTGGTTGTGAAGTTTGAGAACAAGCAACCTGATGCTGTTCTTCTTGAAATAAAAATCTCCCGAGAAGGTTTCCAACTCTGTTCCAAGAGGGTGTCAGCTCCTGGAACGGGAGTCCTAGAGATCCTTGGAAATCCATCTGGACTCTCCCTCTCCTGGCTGAGAAAAAGGATGAGGGCCAGAGAGGTGGCCAGGAATGGGAGGGGCAGGAGTTGCTGATCGAAGACCACAGAGTGAGTCCCTGGCAGAGCTAAATCTTGGACCCAGGTGTCCTGACTAAAAGCTAATGATGCTTAAGGAAGAGCGGGTGGAGCTTAAAATAGGCTTTTTGAAGTTTGCAAGACTCACTTAGGTTCCATTAAGTGACAGAAGGAAGGAAGGAAGATCAGGAAGCCATCTCAGCAGGACTCATGGAGTACCAAGCAGAGACCAGCTGGGCTGTGAGCCCCTCCAGCCACTCTGAGGACAGTCACTTTGTCATAGCTTCAGGTCCACGGGGTCCCCTAGACAGGAGTCTTCACCTCTCCCTGCCTCTATCCTGGCCTCTCTCTTCTGTTACTGTTTTTACATCTCTGAGTTTTCTTTCTGTCTCTCTGACTCGAACTTCACTGAGAAGCACCTCATTGGCTTGGTTAGGAACCATCCAGTAGAAAGCCCCGGAAATGGGCAGGTCTCTCACCCAGGCCTCCTGAGAGGCCCTTGTGTCCAGCCTGTCAGTTGTTACCTCTGAATAAAGCCCAGACTTCCTCACAAATAGGAGTGGTTAGGGTAACAGAGACACCCGACCCAAAGTCTGGCATCTTGTGTCCAAAGAACCACCACAACCTCATTTCTCAGAAGGGAGTTATAGGTGTGGCAGACAAGTGGTCACCTCTCCAGGACATGGTTCCCATAACTGAGTACCCAAGATGAGACCACTCTGGGAGGGACAGATCAGGGAGGATGAATGTGGAAAGCCTCGCCTGCTTCTAATCCTAGTCTGAGGCTGGTCTGGAACCTTGGGAGCCAAATTTAGCAAATAAACACAGAACACCCACTTAAATGCAGTTTCAGATATATTTGAGACATACTTAGGTACTGTGCAATATTTGAGGCATATTGACAAAATTTTTCATCGATTCTGTGAAATTCACATTTATCTGGGTGACTTACATTTTATCTGGCACCCTTACCTAGGAGAGCAGGGACCTGGTCTCTTTTGCTCAGTATTGGAGCTTAAGCACCCACATCATGCCTGGTGTATGGCAGACATTCTCGTTGAACTATCTATGGGAGAAGGCCCCTCAGAGGTTCTCTGCCACACACACTAAGGAGATACTTTGTTGAACAAACATATGCCCCAGGGGCCAGCTTTGCAAAGGCACATTGACTCATTTGACAAAACCCGACTGGAAACTTAGCAAGAGTTAAGATCTGCACTAAATAATTTGAGATTCAGAGATAAGTAAGCTATGCCTCCTGCCCTCAAAATGGTAACTGACCAGTAAGAGCAATAGATTTCAAAACAGATCATTACAATAGAGTGTGATAAGTGCTAGACAATACAGGCTTAAGGCCAGGGTTTAGGTGATTTTGTTTGTCATTTTATCTCCAAATCTTCCTGCGTGGTAGGCACTTAATATAATGCAGTGGAAGGTACTAATGAAAAGATAAAGATAGGAACAATGCATCGCGGAACCACAGAGGCGAATGACCAACCAGGGGAGGAGGGATGGTGAGAAGGTTGTGTCCACATGCTAAGGGACATGACACAGGATAACTGGCTGCTTCTCACCACGTGCTCTCACTCCACTCCCCAATCCCTTTATGTCTTCCTGGTTCCAGCTGCCCAGGTCACCCCCAGCAGCCACCCCAAGAAGGACCACATTTCCAATGAGGACCTTTCTAAGGAGCCTGTCATCTCCAAGGAAGACCTGGTTTCCAAAGAGAAAGCTCTCAAAAGAGCAAAGAGTCAAAAGCCCATATCCCAAGAGGACAATTTCGAAAATGTTCAGCTCCAATGAGAAGAGACTACAGAAGTGGCTCCCAGGGCTGGTATGAGCCAGGGAAGTAGGAAGCCACTGGGAAGGTATTGAGCAGGAAAAGGAAGGGGCTGGGCGCTACTTGGGTGCAAATAGGTGGGGTTAGAAAGAGAAAGGAAGCTGTAAAGGAACAAGAACTAAATGTAAGTGGGAGTTGAATGAAGCATTGATCACCAGCCCTGTGAAAGGCTGTTGCTGGGGTAGAGGGGAGAGGGTGGAAGGGAACCAGCCTTAACTTGACATTTCCCTCCTAATACTCCTCAGCAACCACCTCAGAGGGAAAACTCGCCAAACTGAGCCATAAAATTGGGAAGAATCTGGACAAAGCAGCAAAAGGAATCATGAACTACCTAAAAAATCTAATCCCTAGCGCCAATGATGTCATGAGACCCTAATGATGAGGTGCCTGAATCCAAGCCTGGGTTGTGGGCAAGGTCGCATCCCAACTCCATCTTTCAGCTCCTCAAATTTGTGCATTAAAGCATTGTGTCCCAAGCCTGGCTCTGTGGTGGCTTTGCTGGGCTCAGGAAGAGAGGCAGGATGCCCTCAACTCTACTGGGCTTCTTTCTAAGCTACCCTATCCCTTTGAGTTTAAACTTCTCATCCTCCTCAGCTTACAAACCTGCTCATGTCTCCACATCCCAAAACATCCCCTACAAAGTCCTGACCTTCCTCATGCTGCCTGCACCTCACCAATGCACTGCCCCATACCCCTCAGCTCCTGTGTCCACCTCATGCCCCTACAATCTACCAGCTGCACCCACCCACCCTCCACAACTGTTCTCCAAAGAGTCACAAACATCAGCAAATCCTGTGACTGCTTCTGTAGAACTGGACACAAGTACACTTTCTAGAAACTTCTCCTTGCTAACTTTCCAGGACACTTCCCTCTCCTAGTTCTCCAAGCTCCCTGTTCCTTTCTCAGCACATTTTTTGGACTGCACTCTGTGCTCCCAGCGTCTCATCCTGTACCCTCTTGTCTGCTCTCCACCCTCTTCCTCTACACCCTCATCTGCCAAGACTTATGTTTCACCACAGAGTGGATGACTCCCATTCACCCACTCGACAAACACTCCCCACGTGCTTACTATGCGCCAGGCCCATCTACCTAATATGTGCCAATCTCCTCCCACCCTGGCCAGTTCTCACTGTAACAGCACATTAGATTCAATGGGTAAAGAAGAGCATGGGAAAATGAAAGTTTCTGTCTTCCAAATGAAAGGAAGCTGTCACTCAAGGGCTGGTAGAATGGCAGGAAGGGAAACATCTCTGATCTCTGGTGTCCTACCTCGAAGACATATAAAAAGATGTGCTCAGAAGATCAGCAGAGCAACTGACCTGCTGCAGTGCAGAGCTGGTCTGTCTTGGCCCAGGAAAATCTGGAAATATGTTCAGACCCGGAGACAGATAAAATAATCTACTTCCTCCCTTTACTTTCTCCTAGTATAGAAAGTTGCCGCATGCCCACTTTCCCTAGTTTATCCACCTTCCCCCCACTAGAAGAACATACAAGTCCACCAGAATCATTTCTCAAGCTAGATTGAAAGTTCTATTACGGTCTTTCTCAAGAAAAAGCTTAAGATAAGGCAAAAATTCTTTTTGAAATGACAGAGGAGGGCAGATAGGAGCCTGTGGAGTGCAGGAAAAAATTGGAGGGAAGTTTCCTGAGTGGATGATATTAGAAACATGGAAGTGTCTCGCAGATTAAGAAGCCCCAGATTAAGATTTGGCCCAGAGTGGTGGTTCACTCCTGTAGCCTCAGCACTTTGGGAGGCTGAGGCGGGTGGATCACAAGGTCAGTAGTTCAAGACCAGCCTGACCAACATGGTGAAATCCTGTCTCTAGTAAAAACACACACAAAAAAAAAATTAGCAGAGTGTTGTGGCATGTGCCTGTAACACCAGCTACTCAGGAAGCTGAGGCAGGAAAATCACTTGAACCCAGAAGGCAGAGGTTGCAGTCAGCCGAGATCATGCCACTGCACTCCAGCCTGGGTGACAGACCAAGACTCTGTCTCAAAAAAAAAAAAAAAGCTCCAGATTCATTCTTCTGATCCTCCAGTTCAGGCTAATACAGAAAAGGCCATGAGAGTTGTTACCCAGTGGTGATCAAGCATCCATCTTACTAATGACTGGACAGCTGTGCCACAGGCCACAGTGCAGGTCTCTCTGTGAAAACTGGATAGGAGACCTCAGGCTAAAAGGCCTCTGCCCACATTCCCAACCCCAGCTGACTCACTAATGAACAGAACACTTGAGGCCAGGAGTTTGAGACTAGCCTGAGCAACACAGCAAGACACCCAGGGCTGGAGAAGCCACTATCAGGCTCCCATCCATAAGGTCTGTACTCTTCCATCAGGGAGGAGGAAGGAAGGAATGGACAGGTAGGCTGGGAAGTATTCACTCCAACCTGCTCTTCTTGTTGGGAGGGGATAGAAAGAAATGCCCCCAGCACAGAGTAGCCTTCTCTCTTCTGAAGCCTTTGGGCTTAACAGGTGAGCCTGAGATCTGTGATCAGCCACAGCTGTGATTTGAGGGATGGGAGAAAGAAGACCAGCAGCACATCAGAGTGGTCTTCCACCCTGAAGATATTTGGTCATCTGTGCCTTAAAAAGTGGCCTTACAGATTGGGCATGGTGGCTCATGCCTGTAATCCCAGCACTTTGGGAGGCCAAGGCAGGTGGATCATGAGGTCAGGAGTTCAAGACCAGCCTGACCAACATGGTGTAACCCCGTCTCTACTAAAAATACAAAAATTAGCCAGGTATGGTGGCGGGTGCCTGTAATCCCAGCTACTTGGGAGGCTAAAGCAGAGAATTCCTGGAACCCAGGAGGCGGAGGTTGCAGTGAGCTGAGATCCTGCCACTGTATTCCAGCCTGGAGTGCAGATTCTGTCTCAAAAAACAAAAAGCAGCCTTACCATATGCCCACTGATTTAATATACAGTAACTCCCACTATATGGCAGGCCCTAGAGCCAAATGCTTTATACATATTTACCCACTTAGCCATTGCAAAATACTTAAAAAGTTTGTTATCTCCATTTTCAGATGAAAACAATGAAGTACAGCTTCTCACCACAGTTCTTTCCTCCTGAAATTGGTGGGGTGGCAAGTTTACTGTTGGTACCCAAGCCTCTGAATTGAGTTCAAATAGGACAGAAACTAACTCCAAGACTGTGCTGTTCCCTAGACTGTTTCCTCTCTCCAGTCTGCTCTGTCATGTTGCTCAGTACAGCTCACTTGAGGGTTACAAAATAAGTACTACGTAGCAGCACAAAAGATCAAATAATTCAACATTAGTGGGGAAAAAAAGTCCTAAGTTTGAACATAAACCCTCTTCTATTTTTTTTTTTTTCTGTTTGGCAGGGTCTCATTCTGTCACCCAGGCTGAAATGCATTGGCACAATCTCAGCTCAGTACAACCTCTGCTTCATGGGCTCAAGCGATCCTCCTTATTTCAAAAGGAACAAAGAACAAAATTGAAATACTCTCTTTCTATGCAAGAAAAGGAAAGTCCAAAATTCCTCCCTTCCCAATGTCTTATTCTTCTCATCCTTAGCCCAGAGTCTCATTCAAAAGGCATCTAGGTATGTTCATTTGTCTAGGCATCTCCATTCTGAAAGAAAATTCGTTTCCCAGCCAGGCATGATGGCTCTCACCTACAATCCCAACACTTTAGGAGGCCAAAATGGCAGGATCACTTGAGGCCAGGAGTTTGAGAGTAGCCTGAGCAACACAGCGAGACCTCCACATCTATTAAAAGAAGCACATATATATACAGTTTGCTGGGTGTGGTGGTGCACACATGTAGTCCCAGCTACTTGGGAGGCTGACATAAAAGGGTCGCTTGAGCCCAGGAGTTCAATGCTGCAGTGAGCTATGATTGCACCACTGCCCTCCAGCCCAGGGTGACAGAGTGAGACTATGTCTCTAAATAAATTAATAGAAAATCCATTCCCAAAAACTCTTTCTCTGCCTCCCCTACCCAGCTGCCAGGTGCTGGCTGGGCCTTCAAACATGAAAAACTTTGTGACCTCTTGGGATGGGTTGGAGAGTGGTTTTGTTTTCTTTCTTTTTTTGTTTTGTTGTGTTGTTTTGTTTTGTGTTTTGTTTTGTTTTGTTTTAGACAGAGTCCCACTCTGTCACCCAGGCTGGAGTGCAATGGTGCAATCTCAGCTCACTGCAACCTCCACCTCCCAGGTTCAAGCGATTCTCCTCCCTCAACCTCCTGAGTAGCTAGAATTACAGGCGTGCACCACCACGCCCAGCTAACTTTTGTATTTTTAGTAAAGACAGGTTTTCATCACGTTGGCCAGAATGGTCTCGATCTCTTGACCTCATGATTGATTCGCCTGCCTCGACCTCCCAAAATTCTGGGATTACAGGTGTGAGCCACTGTGCCTGGCCTGGGAGTAGTTCTTGTCATTTTTGTTGCTCCAGCTGTTTGGTAGAATAAGATCTGGAAGGGAAAGGGGGGTACACACACTCTCCCTATCACTTTAGCTTCTCAGTGTAGAGACAGGGTTAGGTACCTGCATCTCCATCCTCTCTTCGGCCTGGGGTGAGCCCCTGCCTCAGAGCTCTAAGCTGTGACTACAGGAAGGATCGTGGTGAAGCCTCACAAATCTGCAGATGATGAGAAGGATGCAGAGCCACCAGCATGGAGCGGGTTCCCTCAGAATCAGGGGAAATTCTGCTATGCTTGGAGGCAGGGGACTGGCCCATTCTGGTCTTTTTCCCCCTGAAATGTGAGTAGTTCCTCCAACATCTATGAAGTTGACTTAATCCAACTCCAAGGAGCTCATGGATCCCTCTTTTTCTTTTTTTTTTTTTTCGGATGGGGGGGAACAGAGTCTCGCTCTGTCCCCAGGCTCCAGGCTGGAGTGCAGTGGTGTGATCTCAGCTCACTGCAACCTCCACTTCCCGGGTTCAAGCAATTCTTCTGCCTCAGCCTCCAAAGTAGCTGGGACTACAGCTGCACGCCACCACGTCCAGCTGATATTTATATTTTAGTAGAGACGGGTTTTCACTATGTTGGTCAGGATGGTCTTGATATCTTGACCTCGTGATCCACCCACCTCAGCCTCCCAAAGTGCTGGGATTACAGGTGTGAGCCACCACACCTGGTGGGTCCCTCCTTTTCAAAGTTAGAGTAACTAAGATACGTGAAATACCATGCACCAGCTCCACACCAGCCAAACTCAAAAACACAAACACATTCTCAGGCCCCAGAGCAATTACATGCCCAGGCCCTAGTGTGTGCTTTTTTGGGGGGTTTTTAAGGGTTGTTTTTTTTTCTGTGGAGGGGTAGAAGGTGGAAGAAAAAACCTTTTACACAGGTTCAAGGTGCAGGAGAAAGATGTCATGGAGGGCCAGTGCTAAGCCGCAGTGCCCCA